TTGTTCCCGTAATGTAATTAGTAGTGCTCACTAAGGATTTGAACAAACCCTAATAACTCGTCCCTCATGTGCCACAAACATTAATGTTGCTTCAAATTATGGAACTTGTTGAAGAAAGGTGTCCTGTTAATTTTCTATGTGATTGGACTTCCCGAGACATGGTAAACGGACAATTGTGGCAGCAAATTTTACAAATTCTCAAAACATATAATTAATAATTAATTAATATATGATATAATAATAAGTATTATATTATATTATTATTTTTAATTATTTATTAATATGTATTATGTCTTTTTAGTCACACTTTATTTTAAGGTCCAATTATCGCTATTAACAAACCATTTTTGTTACTATGACATAACTATGACTTGACTTTTGCCTCAAACTCCTAATTTGATGCTTATTAATAGTTAGTAAGGTAGTTATTAAGTTTAGGTATTGGGTAGGATTAGGGATGTAGAATATGGTCATGCAAAATATGTGCTCTATACGTGTTAATAAGCAGCCAGTATGTTAATAATAACCATGCTAATAAGCAACTAGTTAATTGTGAGAATTGGTCCCTAAACTAAAGTGTTGCTATATTTTTCAACTATATTGAAAGCTGAAAAGTGTGCATCCTGATATTTAAACAGTTTTAGTTTAAAAATAGCACAGCAAAATATCAAGAGATGTGAAAGCATATGTAAATTTGGTTACAATTCAAATCAAAATATGTATTTTGAATATGCATGTATTATGAACACAATGTGGACAACAAATAACAAACAATAAGAATTCATAACATTATATTACAGTATTGTAGTCATTCTAATGTTATTTCAGTTGGATTTTAGTTAGAGTAGAACTGACTAATCTCAAATGTGGTCTAATTCTTATATGATAAAGATTATGACATGATTATACTAAATTTAAAGAAAGTTTTCATATTATTGGGCCGACTTTTGCACAGGCAAGCACCACTCACACCACATTCTTTGATTTGTGTGTGTGTGTGTGCATGCATTTATTTCATTATAACTTCTCAGCTGTAACCTAACATATAGTGAACAAAAGTGTAAAAATTCTTAGAACAGGTAATCGTGGACTGCGTGCATTGAGTTTGTCCTCGTTTCAAACTTATCCCACCTGAAGTGTGTCACCAGGTCTTGCGTCAGAACGTTCCAGAATGGACCACTGTGTCTATTCCCCCACTGGCCCCATTAATTAAGACCCATCATCAACCGTTCGCCCCCCGAGGGAGAGACAGACAAAATAATTAAAATGATCAATGAAGAGAAACTACAGCCCATCTAAAGGTGAACCCAGCCTTCACTCCCACATAAAACTAGACCACAGGCTTCGAAAAAAACACACTAATAACACATACGCTTTCTCGGAACCCAGAGCAACTTTTGTTTATATGATAATGATTATATTTAGACATAGATAGTACCTTCTGCTTAAGCACAAATTGCATTTTGTATCATAGAGGAATAGTTCACCCAAAAATATTATGTAATTGCTGTCATATACTTTCCTCTGTGGAACACAAAGGAGAAATGTATCCAAGCTGCTCTTTTCCATACAGTGAACATGGATGGTTACCAGGGACTGTCAAACTCCAAAAAGGACTGTAATATAGCTTTGCGTGAGGAACAGACAGAAAATTTGTTTATGATCTTCCACTCCACTGCAGCTCTCAAATCTCATTTGAACATGCACATAATAATTCATATTTGGCACATCAAAACACAGTTCCAGATGTGACACCAGTGACACTAAACGGTTGTGATGTTTTGTAACCGAATGCATCCAAATTTGAATTTGTAAAAGGGCTAATCATATTTCAGCAGTGTTGTTATTGTTAACTAAAACTGATTAAAACTACCTGAAAATAAGCTGAAATAAAATAAAAATATTAGTAAAAAAACTTGAAAATTAGAAATGCTGCAGGCTAAAGTACTTTTTTATGGCTAACTAAATTCTAAAACAAAAACTGAAAATATAAAAATGTTCAAAAGTTCAAAATATTAATCAATAATATATTAGTATTTATTTTTAGCTGTACAAAACAACTCGTTTTGCTGCTTGATACTGCAAATTGTTGTGTCTTACCATATTATTTTAGTGTATTATCTTAATTATGAACACAGGTGGTTTGTAATAATAATAATAATAATGATATTAATAATATGTTTAATTTATATAGCGCCTTTCCCAAGCTCAAGGACGTTCTACAAGGTACACCAAAGCAGCAAATATTGATTACAAAGAAACAATTTCATTGGACATTTGCCCAATTCAGTTACAAATAATGCAGTTGCATATAACACAGATTATGTAGTAAAGACAGAAATAGAAAACAAAACAGACAAATACACAATGTAAATTAGTGATAGTGTTGATTAAACAAATAAGTTTTAAGCTTATAATGCAAACACTTTGACCGTTTTCTGCACGTTCTTATTCTTCTCGTTATTTCCCTAATGAACCGGAAGTCTCGCCCATAGGCTTACTTCCACGTTTAAGAATAAGGTGGATGGGGAGGAAATTACAGCTTAAATTTAATTCTGTTCCTGACGAAGACTTCAGCATCATGTGGACATATGGAAATATATATTACTTTCACACCCCCTGGTTACCTTGTGTGTTCACTTCACAGAGAAGAGCAGCTTGGACATTCTGGTAAACATCAATTTTTCATGATTCATGGAAAAAAATGAAAGTCATTTAGGTTTTAAGGAACTTGAGAGTTAGCAAACAATGACAGAATTAAAATTTTGGGTGAATTAAAAATGCATTAAAATGCTTCAAAGAAAATCAGAAAATGCAAAAATGGCATCTTATCACTAGTCCACCTGTCTCTTTATTTACGTAAACAAGAGTTTCCAGGGATTAAGTCTTTTAACAAAATAAAATTAGTGGTGCATGTCATTAACAGCGATTCCGACAACACTTGCAGTTATAAATACATGGAAGAAAGCCAGAGCTCTGCATTATAGAGTTCCTTCCCACACAACTGAACATATGCAGATGCCCTTGCAGCCCGGCCTTGTCTGTTGAGTGTCTAATTAAGTGCATTTCACGCTCGTGTGGTCACTTTGACGAGGAGGTGACTGAGAATGACTGCGGGGTAATTGGACTGGATGTAACGTGCGCAGTCTCGAAACCACTTCCTGCCACCTTTGCCGTATACCGTGCTGTTTGTGTGTGAGTGCTCTAACACGCTGTACAGTTGGGAAGATTTCCATTGCCCGCATTTACCCTTGAAGAGGAGACCTGTCCTTCCTGTTTATTGCTGGAAGAAACACATCCATTGATTTTCATTAGGACCCTCCTGTCCGTGTCTGGCATTGCAGATAATCTTCCCCCCTCTGCGTGTGGAGCTCATTGCACCTCCAGCTGGAGTGGTTACGCCACGTGGGCTCCTCAGGTGGCATCTCACGTAGCCAGATGAACCTTTTCGGCATGAACCTCCCATGTAAAGGAAGACGCTGTCTTGCTGATAGATCAAGTGACCGATAGGTCTGAAATAGGACACAAATTACTTTTGTTCCAAGTAGTTGACCGTGTCCTACCTACACTGTAAAACAAAACTTGGTTTTGGCTTATGTGGCACCACAGTGAAATCTCATTGGTCCAACATGCATATGTTCATATTGGCTGTGATTGTGTTGCATCACTTTTGCTGACTTAATTAATGCTCCTGCTTTGACTGAAGAATGGATTGGTTCAACAGGGTTATCACAGTACAATATGTTTGAGAAGGATTACGTACACCACTTTGTGTCCCATTCAGCAGACACAAGGCCTTGTTAAAGAGTTACTATTATTATACCCGCTAGGCCTTCACGTAAAGGCTCATCTTGTTTCAGCCTGCCCTTTAATTTCATTTTTTTATTTCGGCACCATCAGAAAATGTGTCAAGAAGCCTAAATGAGGAGATGGGATAAGTGGTGAGAAAAATAAAAATGAGAAACGTGAAAGGTCAAACTAAATAGAGGATTTTTTCTCTATCTCTTAATAATACAAGTTCTCATTTAAACTCACTGGTTTCCTTCTGTTTTCCTAAAGAGATCTTATTGCACAGTTATGTAGCACTTGATCTGTTTCATCTGACGTCTGCTTTTGATATTAGTCAAGGTTTCTTGCATCAAAAAAGGTTAATTAATTTAGTTTTTAAGACCATTTTCTGTTTTTGCTACTGTGGCTTTAAGACTACTATATGTAAATGGCCTCTGTCCTACCAAAGCTAACACAGTTAATCAACGCTTTTTAAAATATAACAAATTTATTTCATTTATACAATATTTCAATATTTATGGGCCACACTCCAATTCTTGCTAACAAACCATTAACTATGACTTTTGCCTCAATAAACAATTTTTTTTAATTTGCTGCTTAATAATAGTTAATAAGGTAGTTGTTAAGTTTAGGTATTGGGTAAGATTCGGGATGTAGAATATGGTCATGCAGAATATGTGCTTTATAAGTACTAATAAACAGCCAATATACTAGTAATGTGCATGCTAATAAGCAACTAGTTAATAGTGTGAAATTTCCCTATAGATGTCCCTATAATAAAGTGTTACCTATTTATGTAAATGTATACAATTTATATGTGTATACATTGTGAATTGGCCATTTTTTCAATCGCTGTACAGCTGTACAATACACTGTAAAAGCAATTAATTAAACGGCGATTAAACCGATTGAGTATATTTGATGTAACTTATTTACAAAGCCAAAAATACCAAAAATTACAAAGTAAAGCACAAAAACTAGAAATAAAAAATAAAACTTGTGTTATTGATTTATTTAAATTCAGAATTTGTTTATGAATTTGTTATTTTAAATGTATGTATTTATTTATTTATTTATTTTTATTGAATCAAGCTGGTAGGCAAATGTGGGTGGTCATATGTTAATGAGCTCATAATTGTAAGGTCATAATGCAAATCGATATGACTCCTTTAATCGTGACTTCAGTGTTACTCTCATCTTTATGTTCACAGGCAGAGCCTGAAGGATTCTCTCATTTCCATTTGTACGTGTGCGCTGCCTTCCTGGTGCGATGGAGGAAAGAGATACTAGAGGAAAAGGATTTCCAGGTAAGATGTTTTTTTTTGTGTCGTGTTGTGCGGTCCCTGAGCCGCAGTGTGTGTCGTCCTTGCGTGAGACCCCTCCTCCCTCATTAACTTGCAGGGTTGAGGGGTCAGTGCGCCTGCATTAGTGTGATGACAACAGCAGCTGCTGTAAGGTGACATTGCACCGTCCCTTTGAGACTCTTCTATTTCCTGTCCCCTCTCACACTCACTTGTTCCATGTGATCGAGAGGTAAAGGGTTTAGGCATGGAGGCTTGGAGAGGGCGGATGTGTCACCAGAAGTACAATATGAATTTACTTATATAACCAAAATTCCATGTCTATTACTGGATTCTTGTGTCTTACTTTTCCTCATCTTGTCAATCACTCAACCATCCCAGCTCAATGCCTGCAAATTTTAGATTTGTATTATTTATTTATTTATTTATTTAGAAAGTCATGAGAATGTTTATAATATCTTAATATCTTCATGCCTTCTACTTGAATTTAGCAGATTAGAGCTGGGCAATAATATAGTTACTTTTTGCGATGATACAAGCAATCAAGCAGTTGAGATTTGCTATGTAGTGTATATATCATCCTACATACTATATACTGTATGTATGTAGATAAAGTTGGATATAATATATATTCAACTTTATATAGACAGCTGTACGATAATACAGTTTACATTTTTTGCAACGATATAAACAATTATGCAGCCGAGATTAGCATTTTTTTCTATTTACCAATTAAATAGTTTACACTTTTCGATTATATAACAATCAAGGAGTTGAGATTTGCAATATAGTATTTACTACTTGTATACCAAATGCATTAAAGGGATAGTTCACCCAAAAATGAAAATTCTGTCATTAATTACCTAACTTCATGTCGTACCAAACCTGTAAGACCTTCGTTCATCTTCGGAACACAAATTAAGATATTTTTGATGCATTCCGAGAGCTCTCCGACCCTCCATAGACGGCAACGATATTACCACGATCAACAAACAGAAACGTAGCAAGGACATCAGTAAAATAGTCCATGTGACATCAAAAAAAAAAAAAAAAAGTGTCTTTGTAATAAACATGTAATAACTGTCTCTGAAAGTCTTTTTCAGGTTAGCGTTACTCATCCAAAAATTTTTATTCTGTCATCATTTACTCTCATTTATGTCATTCTAAATGCATATGTTCTTTGATTTTTTTTTTCTTTTTCTTTTTTTTCTGTGGGACACAAATGGGGCGTTTTTGAATAATTAAAAACACTATGATTGAATCATCGAGTAATTGACCACTCACGGATCAGTGAATTAATCATTCTTTTGAGCCATTTCTTTTAAATGAACTGGTTGATTTAAATATGCAAACTTTCATTCAGGAATGGAACTCCCACTTTCTACCATTAATTCGGTTTCTTATCAGTTCCTTAATAATCAAGTCGCGTCCTACTTTTGACTTGTCCTGCCAAATATTCTGTTTGAGTCAGAATCACATAATTTTACAGGTTTGAAAAGCATTCAAAATGCAGAAATCTGAGTGAATCTTTTTTTCTTTCTAAATCTTTGTCTTCTCTTTAAACTTGCATCTCAGTGGAGTGAATAGACTGCTCAGTGTGTGTTGTTGAATATGCAGCGAGTCAGTGGTGTGTATCAGCAGTGTGTTGTTGTGGGGCGGTTGATTTATTGTGTTTACAGTGCCCAGTGATTCAGAATTATCCCCTGCACCAGCTCTGCAGCACGCGGCTGCTGTTTGGCATTCAGACAACAGCCCCGGGCCTCCGTCCTTACCCGCCTGTGCCATGTGTCAGCAGAGAGATTATTTCCCCTATTCTGTCTCCTTATCCTTTTGTTTCACTGTATATTCCTTCCCTTTTTTGCTGGTTTGTTTTCACACACATGATGTGATAAGCGATACCCTATTGTGCCCTGCAAGACATAGACCAGTTAGAGGTATAGTGGTTTTATGGGAGATCTGTGGCGAAGAGTTGACTTTTCTGCACCCAACCTATGATTTCACCTCCTCCAGTGCAATCTGTTCAGGTCAAGCTGCCCTAGACAAACAGTTCCCATACAATTCCTTGCTGCTTCTTGCCTTTTTTGAAGGGAAGAAGCAGGGAAGGCTGCTCTTAAAATAATTGGCTAGCTGTTTTCTGGAACATAGTGAGTTGCCTTTCTGTCTGCATAGGCAGATGCCTTCTAAGGAAATGAAGAATCTGATTTGGAAGGCTCTAGATAGGAAGCAACTCCCTGTGTGCTCTTCATGTTAGGCATACAAATGATTCAACTCATTTGTTTTCATGATGTTAGCATGTTGCTAAGCTATTGACACTACAGTCAATTATACAAACAGAATTTTGTCAAAATGGCCATCTTGGGGAATATCCTACCTACAAAAAGTTTACTTTGGTTATGTCTTATGTGAACATGAACATTTGGGAGAAAATCAGATGTGTGTCAGGATCCATGTAAAATATATGTGTTGTTGTCGTGAAGGTTTATCAGATGGCAAAAGAAAAAGGGTAGATTGATTAGAGAAAATTGGGACCAGTGACAATTTTTGCAGGGACTGTAAGAAATCTCAATTACTGGCAGAGTTGAAAAAAATTCATAGATGCACCAAGAGCTTGTAACACTCCAAAGAGAAAGGAAAAACTGAAATCGCATCATATGACCCCTTTAAGCCTTGTTGTTGCTGTGCATTCTGGGATTGTCTTCTCTGCAATGGATGTTGCAGCGCAGTGCCTCAATTTTGTTTAGGTAGACCGCCCTTTAGGTTACTGATAGTCATGCAATACACAATTTTGGGGTTCACATAGTATAATGGATAGTGTGCAAAGTGAAGGATTTTGTTTTAAAAGTGAAGATGGAACAAAAAATGGCACATCACTATATTTAAAGTTGGGATGTGCAATTTTATTTAACAATAGTGTCACCGAACAGTATAAGAAAAATAATCAGGGTTTTCAAACACGTTTACTGAACACTCTCCCTGTCTTCCATTAGTTGGATAAACAGATGTTGGTTAATCTTGGTTAAGCCAGTGTTTCAGTTAGGCTGGTGCAGATGTTAAAATAAACACAAAAGTATTTGAATAGTACCAGAGTTAATGCAAAATATCTTTAACACACCTAAAATAAGTATTCACGTACATATCGTCATAGAATCAAGACAATGGAAAACTCTCTAAAAGCAAAGTGCACTTCCATATAGGATAAGTTTGAAAATATCTATAAATTTGATTCTTCTCATGAAGATAATTTTGATTCAGTGGGAGAGATTGAGGGAATGACCTGACGTGAAGTATTAAATAAGTCTCCATTCAGTGAGTTACGAGACTGAGTTATGGTTCTATCCCAGCATATCAAACTGTGAAAATTAGTCTTGTCTTTTGGGACACTGGTCTTTCATAGCAGTTGGATTTCAGGATGTGTCTTAAAGATGGCCTCTGGCTTTTTCTCACTCCATTTAGCCCTTTATATATCTTTCTAAATATATAAAAGGCATTTTTATTCTGGAATTAGTTCTCAGGACAGGTTTCCAAGAAATACTTAAAGCCCCATATTTTCTCAGATCTAGTACACATGCAGTTTTGAAGAGAGATGGATTGATGGGCGGAATTTTTTTGTGATTTTTCAAGTATATCTTGCACACAGCAAGACTGTTTGGAATGGATTTTGAGAGATTGAGTTGCTAACGAAGGCTTTCTTAATGAGCATAACAGTTAATGGCTCTTGAAAATGAAATCAGAAATTGTATAAATCCTTAATTAAACGCAATCCATAATAAATTGTTGCTGTCGGTAAATTATGTTTATTTAAAGGAATTGTTTACCCATAAATGAATATTCAGTCTCAAAAGGAGATGCTTACTGTGATTTATAGTCTGCCAAGGATGTCCGAGCTTCAAAACGTTCAAAACGGATGTTCGAGCTAGTCCCATATAAATATTCAATGTCTCCTGAAATCATACAATTGTTTAGCATTATTTGCAAAAAAATCTTCCTCTTCAGTTTAGTGAAATGTTATTTGCACTCTCATGCAGTCAAATATGAAAACATTTTGCATCAGGTTAAACGTCAATAAAATCCAACGTCACTGGTTCTGTCTCAAGACCAATTGTTATTGACTTCAGACCTGGTGAGGCGCATCTTGATGGGCCAGTGTAATGCAAGTAAGATCAGATCATTTTAGGAGCTCACTTTCATTGTATAAAGAGGAACGGCCTGGATATTCTTCTATTGTATTCCACAGAAGTAAGTTAGTTAGTCTTACAAGTTAGAAATTGGATGAGAGTGAGAAAATAATGACCAGAATTTGACATTTTTGCATGAACTGTCCCTTTTAAACATAACAATCTAAATGATGTAGATATCCATGCGGGTTTATTAACGTGTCAGAGGAGTAGGTGTGTCTTGTGTTTCACTGTGACTTTTGTCTGACCCCCTGGTATTTCAGGGCATTCTTTAATGGCTTCTATTCTTGGCAGGAGGGCAATTAATGAGTATTGAAGCAGGGGGGAAATCTTTACTGGGACAGAGTAAAGGTTAAAAGGACTATACCACAGCGCCCTCACGGAAACCTGCTGTATGAACCAGTCTGACCCGCTTTTACCCTTCCTGCACTCCTCATAATGTGCATAATGATATATTGTCATCTTACCTGTAGGTATGGTTGGGGAACGAAAACCGTTCTTAATGAGAAATGGTACAGTTTTTGAAAAGATATTGGAGCTGAATGATGTTTGTGGTATTTGGTTCACGCAACATCTGCTTTTTTTGGCAAAGTGGGCATGAACAAGAATCTGAGCTAGTGTCAGGTTGTCATATTAATTTCTCTAGGCTGTATGCGTGTTCAACTTTCAGCCATGTTTCTTGCAGTTAAAAAATTGGTGCAAATGGCTTATTTTGTGGAATATAATTTCTACTTCATAGAAATCACACACATGAAATGCCTTACAGAACTAAATAAAAAATATAAAAAGCTGAGAATGATGCCCTGACAAACAAATTTAATACAGTGATGT